GGAGGGGAGGGGCGGGGAGGGGAGGGGCAGCAACAGCTGTTCTGGGCACACACCACGTATTGTCATATTCGAAACACCTAAAAAATACCTAAAACGCCTAATTCACAGACAAACAAACAGTACATATCCCCGTGCCTATCAGAGGTACGTAGCCAACATATCAACAGGACCTTGGGAATTAAAATGATCATATCTCAGCCCCTGGGCAGCTCACAACTAGCTGTAATGTCCAGCTCCAGGTGAAACCAAAGCCTCTAAGCCTGGAAAGAGGAGCGGGGGATAAGCAAGGAAACGAATAGTAAGACATACTACAGGAGATAGGATCTACTGTGAAGGGGTTTGGTCTTGGTGCCAAGAAAGCAAAGGTGGGAAGGGCTTCTTCTGGGAGAGTTGGGGGAGGAATATGCCAGGAAGACTGGAGTACCTGCAAAGAACCAGAGGCTGAAATCACACAGATGTGTGTAAACAAAAGAAAGTCGTGAGCAAAAGAACCAAAACAGCCCGTTGAGAAAAAGGAAGCAGTTCGCGATTACGTTACCCAGGCCTGACAGCATATGTGAGAAGTGGAAATCAAGCTGTGGTTGGACAGGGTCCTGGAGGGCAGCTGGCTGAGGGTTCTGAGGCAAACACTGAGACCTGATAGTCTTTTCCTATAGTGGGAGGGACTTGAATCTATTTCTGTTGTGAGGATGGAGCCTAAGAAAGAACGACAGGATATATATGGGCACGAGAGGGGAGCATTCTGCAGATGGGGTCATGGTCTAGGAAGATGCCAGAAAATAGAAGGGACAAACTAGGGTAACTGCCAAGGAAGGAGGTCTTCTCCAAGCTCACACCTGGACAACTCACTCTCCAGCCTGAAAAGCCTTGCATTGGCATTGCCATGGCAACAGCCCAACATGCCCCTCCACAGCCACAGTGGTCACTTTTCCCTCCCCAACCACACAAACTGCCCAGCGTGATCACAACTTAATTTTTACTGTTATCATTCAGCATAAGGCCCAGTACATGTGGTATTGAGTAACTCTGTCACAGCCACCCTCGTCCTGCAAGGATGACGCGACCACCGGAGCTCTTCTCACTGCAGTTTTTATTCAGGACCTTTTTAAACAATTGTATCTCTCTTTTACCCTCTCTCCTTTTCTCCTTTTCTTTTCTCCTCTCTCTCTCCTCTCTCCTCTCTCTCTGGGCAAACCTCTCCCAGCCCTTAAGTAGGCATGGGCTGCCAATCCTGAACTGCCAGGTGGGCACTGCCCATAGGTTCACGCATATGCAGGCAGCTGATAATCATTGCGTGATCATAGCATAGGTCAGGCCTTAACCATCTCAGGAGTTGATTATACATCTCCATCAGGTGTGACACCACGCAGCTCGCTACATAACTCAGTGGAGTTGATGGGCTACTAAGTGCAGATAAAGAGGACAAAGACAATGCAAAGGGACTGGAGAGGTGGCTCAGCAGTGAAGAGCACATTCTCCTCTCTCCCACACTGGGCAGCTCACAACCAGCTGAAACTTCAGCTCCAGAAGAAATCAAAGCTTCTAAGCTCCACGGGCATGCACACTAAAGTGCACATACCCCCCCCCCCCACACACACACATGTACAATTAAGAATAAAATCTTGCCAGGTGGTGGTGGTTCACGCCTTTAATCCCAGCACTGGGGAGGCAGAGGCAGGTGCATCTCTGTGAGTTTGAGGCCAGCCTGGTCTACAGAGAAAGTTCCAGGACAGCCAGGGCTACACAGAGAACCCTGTCTCGAAAAACCAAAGGGGAAAAAAGACAGATAGTTGCTAGCTTCCATTTGGGTTCTGGCCTAAGTGAGAGCCAGGAAGGGGAGGGGCTCTGAGTAGACAGCAGCAGCTCAATGGCACTGGTGGCCTCGACAGAGTTGTCGTGTTTTCCTTTTGTTCTCTAGAAGTAATGCCACTCACCTACAACCATCCTCACCCAATGGCGCATATACCCACAGCCTTCTCAACTCCTGGAATGCTAACCTGTAGTAAAACCCAGAAACAATCTCCTTTTACCTAAACTCCAGATTAACCAGAGGACAGTTACTGTGTGCATATTTTCAATATTGCTTTTCTTTCCAAGACAAGGATGGAAGCTATGAGCCATTCATTCCAAAAATTCACAGGATAACAAGGATGAAAAAATAAATCTGACAGTTCAGGCTTGGCTATTCCAAAGCCTTATAGTCAAGGCCTGCACATCCGGCTACAGGTTTCAGAGCAGGAAGACACCAGTCTCCAGGTCTCATTAGACTTCTACAATAGTCCAGGCCTTGATGAATACTCTCAGGACAATATGCTGGTCCCTCTAGCTCACAGCAGAGATCTCGCACTTGGCTTCAATTTCATCATCTTTTTTAAAATATGTACTGTTTCATTGCACTCAGATTTGAAATCCTGGGTCTGAACTACCTCTAGCACTTCTGCTGTGGGATATTTGTTCAGTGTGTGAAAATGTATTTGCTGTGATTGGTGTAATAAAAAAGCTGAACAGCCAATAGCTAGGGAGGAGATAAAGGCTGGATTTCCAGGGAGATAAAGGAAGAGAAGGAGACAATTGAGGCCCAGAGGAGACACCAATGAGACATGGAGTCAGATACACAGAATGAAAAAAGGTAAAAAGCTACATGGTAAAATATAGATTAATAAAAGCAGGTTAATTTGTTATAAGAGTCAGTGGAAGACAGGCGGTGGTGGCGCACACCATTAATCCCAGCACTGGGAGGCAGAGGAAAGCAGTTCTCTGAGTTCGAGGCCAACCTGGTCCACAAGAGCTAGTTCCAGGACATGTTCCAAAGCTACAGGGAAACTCTGTCTCAAAAAAATAAGAGCTAGCAGAACAAACCTACGCTAAGGCCAAGCTTTCATAATTAATTGATAATTTCATTATTTGTGTGAACTGGCGGCCCAAAGAAAAAGACAACACACAGAAGTGTGTTCAGGGAATCAGACATGATCAGAGAGATGCAGCTAAAATGATGACTTAGAATAGCAACTGGCACATGGCGCATGCTAAGTAGTCAGCTGCGACTCTGGACGTCAGAACAAAAGAGAAGTGATGGTAGATGCCATGCTCTGAGGGAGTGGTCTGAGGTGGTGGCTGTGCTTGCCCTGAAGATGTATTCAAATCTGAAGAGAGACCTAGGAGATAGGCGTCCTGCAGCAGGTCTGGCCTGGGTCAAAAATCAAAATCCAGTAGAGGAAGACCAGGATAGAGGATCCTGGACTGGACTCTCATCACTTCTGACTCTGTGACCTTGGCACCCCCTCAAAGAATGAAACAGTGGTTGATTTCTTTTGACCTCTTTATATCCTTAGAAGACTTAACCCTTCCAAAGCTTGTTTTCTCGAGACAGGGTTTCTCTACCTGTCCTGGAACTTGCTCTGTAGACCAAGCTGGCCTCAAATTAGAGATCCACCTGCCTCTGCTCAATTGAATTGCTTGACAGAGTGCCGCCGCCACCCAACTCCCTCCTGACTTCTTTAATAAAGGATGTATTGTGGCTGGAGAAATGGCTCAGCAATTAGGAACACATACTGCTTTTGCAGGGGACCCAAGTTTGGTTTCTAGCACCCGTTATCAGGTGGCCCAAAGAAAAACAACCCCCTAAAACTCCAGCTCCAGGAGATACAAAACTCTGTGGGGTCTCTCTCTGTCACACACACACACACACACACACACTCACACACACTTAAAAATAGTAAAAATATAGGTAACAAGGAGGACCCTAAGAAGGACACATGGATCTCCCTGGGAAAAGGAAATAGATGAGATCTCTTGGGTAAACTGGAGGCAGGGGGAACAGAGGGAAGGGGATAAGGGAATGGGAACATGAGGGATCAGGATGGTCGAGTTGAGGGCAGGACGGAGGGGAAGAGTAATAAAAGCGGTATCTTGATAGAGGGGGCCATTATGGGGTAAGGGAGAAACTTGGTGCCAGGGAAACTCCCAGTAACCCACAAGGATGACCCCTGCTGACTCCTAGCAATAATGGAGAAGGTGCCTGAACTGACCATCCCCGGTAATCAGATTGGTGACTACCCTAATTGTCATCAGAGCGCCTTCATCCAGTAACTGATGGAAGCAGGTGCAGAGATCTACAGTCAATACCTGACTGAGCTCTGGGAGTCCAGATGAAGAGAGGGAGGAGGGATTATATGAGCAAGGGGGGGGTCAAGATCATGACTGGGAAACCCACAGAGACAGCTGATCTGAGCTTGTGGGAGCTGGCATCGGACTGACCTAGGCCCTCTGCATCTGGGTGACAGTTGTGCAGCTTGGTCTGTTTGTGGGGCCCTTAGCAGTGGGGCCAGTACCTGTCCCTTGATGGATAAGTTGGCTCTTTGGAACATATTTCCTATAGTGGGATGCCTCGCCCAGCCTTGACTCAAGGGATAGGAGCTTGGTCCAGCCTCAACTCGTTATGCCATGTTTTGTTGACTCCCATGGAAGGCCTTACCCTTTCTAAATGAAGATAGAGGAGTGTACTGGGGATGGGGGTTGAAAAGGGAGGTGGTGGAGGGAATAGAAGGAGTGGAGGGATGGGAAATTGGTTGGTGTGTAAAATAAATAAATAAATGAAAATAAATCCTTAAAGGTCTTTTATATTCAATTACATGTAAAGTGGCCCACAAAAGCCTCGTCCTGGTGCTAACCCTTCATGTGAGTTCTCACCCCACAGAAGGGGAGTACAGCATTAGATAGGGCCAATCCAGTAAGATAGCCTCGACATGTAAGGTCTCAGTAACTTTGAGGGCACAATGCAGATGCATCTCTAGAACCTTCTATTTTAGAACCTATACCCAGTTCCTTGGAGTCTTCACTCTCTAATCAGTCCAGAGCTGTCTCCCCCGAGCCTCTCAACCTACACTCTTCGCTTTAAAACTCAATAAGCCTTCAGAGAACTTTTCTCCAAGGGGCTGTGGGTCCCACCTGGCCTCCCGCTTCCCCAGTCCCCGCCCTCTGAAACAAGTTGGCCCTTGGAGATGTCCCTACCCCCACCTAAGCTGGCCCACCAAGTCCCCTTCTGTGGCACCCTGCCCTCTCTGAGAAGCAACAGTCGTCGCGAGCTGCATCAGAGGGTCTTCACAGAGCAGGTTCGAGAATGCATGGACAACGGCTACCTGCTCTCCTCCAAGAAGATTGGCTCTGGTGCTTTCTCCAAGGTCTACCTGGCCTATGCAACACGTGAGCGCATGAAGCACAACCCGAAGCTATTCTCTGACTTGCGGGGCAAGCACCACACTATGGTGAGGGAGGCCTGCCACCTTCTCTGTGGGCTCCTTAGGTATCCCACCCTGGCTTCCTCTATAGGATCTCCCTCCTAGGTCCTGTTTCTTCTCAGCTTCCCCATGTTCTGCTTCCCAATCTCTCAAACATGCATATGCCCAGGACAGAAAGAAAGTGGGGCTGGCACCACCTTTTGAGAATATTGCTCACCCAGCCACTGGGAGAGATTCAACAATGTGTGTAAAGAACAGTGGGCCTGGGCTGGAGAGATGGCTCAGAGGGTAAGAGTACTGGCTGCTCTTCCAGAGGTCCTGAGTTCAATTCCCAGCAACCACATGGTGGCTGACAACCACCTTGCCAGCAGTACATCATATGCTTAATAAATAAATCTAAAAAAAAAAAAAAGGCTGGGTGGTGGTGGCACAAGCCTTTAATCCCAGCACTCGGGAGGCAGAGCAGGCGGATCTCTGTGAGTTCGAGGCCAGCCTGGTCTACAAGAGCTAGTGCTAGGACAGGCTCCAAAGCTACAGAGAAACCCTGTCTCGAAAAACTAAAAAAAAAAAAAAAAAAAAAAAAAAAANAAAAAAAAAAAAAAAAAAAAAAAAAAAAAAAAAAAGAACAGTGGGCCTATTCTGAGGAGCTTCTTTTTTTTAAATTTTATTTATTATGTATACAATATTCTGTCTGTGTGTATGACTGCAGGCCAGAAGAGGGCACCAGACCCCATTACAGATGGTTGTGAGCCACCATGTGGTTGCTGGGAATTGAACTCAGGACCTTTGGAAGAGCAGGCAACGCTCTTAACCTCTGAGGAGCTTCTACACAGCTGACTGCTTTCCACCTTTCTCAGGTAGCTATTAAGATTGTGTCCACGGCTGAAGCCCCAGTGGAGTACTCCAGAAAGTTCCTGCCCCGTGAGATTTTATCACTCAATGCCACCTATAAGCACCTGAACATAGTAAGACAGTCCTTGCCACGCCTGCTTTCTACCCATGCTTGGCTCCCCTTCCCTACTTGGAAATCCTCCCTTTTGCCCTTGCGTACAGAGCCCATTCTCACCCATAATTGGGATCGAGTACACCTAACAGTCCCAACACTCTTGACCCAGGCCTTCCTCAGGAAGACGGTGTATGTTTGGTAGGTGCAGTTGTACGAGACCTACCAGAATAGCCAGCGCTCCTACCTGGTATTGGAGTTGGCAGCCCGAGGTGACCTGTTGGAGCATATCAATGCCATGTCAGACCTTCGATGCTGCCCAGGGCTAGAGGAAGAAGAGGCCCGAAGGCTGTTCTGGCAACTGGTCAGCGCTGTGGCCCACTGCCACAATGCCGGCATTGTGCACCGGTGAGGGCGCCATCTGGCCTACCTGCCTGCCTGGGTAGCTGCTGACCTACTTGAGCCCAGCCCCACATTCCCTTCTCCACAGGGATTTAAAATGTGAAAATATCCTGTTGGATGACCAGGGCTTCCTAAAGCTGACAGGTGAGCCCACACGGCTCCCTTAGTTCTGTTTACTTCTGGACCCTACCTCCTAATTCCTCCTGTCCTCAACTCTGACCTAGCCCCAACTGTCAGCTCCTACCTACAGCCCACACCCACAAGGGGCCCCACCTGGTCTCTCCCTTACTCTCATTCTGTAACATACTTTCAGAGCTCCCTCCCAGACCCCACCATCCTGACAGATACCCTTTTGAACCCACTCTCCCGTCCTGTCCATCACCTGTGTTGCCTTGCCCTGCCTGCATACTGTGTGCAGATTTTGGCTTTGCCAACTGCATGGGGCTCAAGAACTCACTGCTGAGCACCTTCTGTGGCTCTGTGGCCTATACGGCCCCAGAGATCCTCATGAGCAAGAAGTACAACGGTGAGCAGGCTGATCTGTGGAGCCTGTAAGTACCCCCAGGTACCCCCGGCAGGACCCAGGGGTGGGCTTAGGAGGGCCAGCACCCTGAGGAAGCTGCGTCCCCAGAGGGATCATCCTCCATGCCATGGTGTCTGGGAAGCTGCCCTTCAAGGAACATCAACCCCCTCGCATGCTGCAACTGATTCGCCGTGGTCCCATCTTCAGGCCAGGGCTGTCCCCAGGTGAGCAACACCATTCCATGCTCCTTCCAAGCCCCAGCTCAGGCCTGGTGAGTAACCAGAGACCAGGACCACAGCAAAGAGAATAATGCTATCACCCCACTCCATCGGCTGGAAAAGTACCATACCACACATTGCATGCTGGGAAGCTGAGGGTAGGACTGAAGGATAGCAATCCTACTGAAGAATATGGCACTAGTCCAGAATACCCCACCCCTTCTCTGTGCCTCAGTCCCCCTCTGATGGTGGGCAGAAGCTCCTGAATCTTTGCCAGATTGGCAAGGTTCTCTCTCAAGCTGCCACCATTTCTGTTAGTTGTGGGTGTGGGTCAGGGTTACTGGCAGGCTCCAGCGGTGAGCCCTCCCCTGTAGAGTGCCGGGACCTGATCAGAGGGCTGCTTCAGCTGCATCCGTGTGCACGCCTGGGCCTACAGCAGGTGGCTGCTCATTGCTGGCTGCTACCTGCAGAACACATACTGTCCTCTACGCTTGGTGCTACCCCAGGTGGGGCATGGCTCCCGGTGATTGTTGGGCTGCAGGGAGTGCCTCTAACACTCTACATGACCCTCTGCTTTGGTCCATTGCAGAACAGGAGCATTCCCAGTCGGCAATAGGCCCTGGTAACACAGAGCCTCGCGGAGATATGGTGTACCAGAAGCAAAAGCTGCAGCACCTCCAGAGGCAGGTCATCTCTAAGGAGAGTGTCTCTTGCCCAGCTGTGCAGCATCTGGAAACCTGTACCAGAGGAATAGGTTTTACCAGCCTTGGGTTATGGCACACCATGGCAGGTGGCTGCGCTCTACGCCCCACATTCCCCAACAGGAACATGCCTGGGCACTATCTGGTCAATTGAGGGTAGGTGGGTATGGGCAGATAAAAATGTTTTTCTGTGGAGCCGAGGATGTAGCTATCTACACAGGGAGGGCTGGTGGCCTCTGGGTACCTCCTTGGGAATCTGGGTCAGAGGGAGCACATGTACCTAGAGTATCAAAGCTTTAACAGAGGGCTGGAGGGCATCACGATGGGGAGAAAGACTCATGGTATGAATGAAACACCGAGCCATGGCATAACAACACATAAAGCATTTTTCCAGCTTCAGAGATATGGAGTGGAACACTGCAAATTCCCATGAAGACTATGGGCCCCTGGGACCTGGGAGGACCCATTGCTGAGAGGGAACAGCATACAAAAGCTTCACACAGGTGGATCAAGATCTGTGCCTCAAAAAGGGGGACACAGTGGGGCAAGATTTGCCATGGTTATCTACAGAATGAAGAAGAAGGGCTGTATAGAGGGAGTAGGCTCCATAAATTGGGGGTAGGAGTGTCTAAGAATAAATGCTTCAAGAACACCCAGGAGAATCTCTACAGAGGTAGGCAAGGCGTGATCAGTAGGAAGGTCTTGAAAGGCAACTGTTGCTCAAGGAAGCTAACTGAGGAGCACATTCTATCTAAATGGCTAACTCTAATTCAACCTGGGACTAAGGAGGCTAACCAAAGACTAAAGGCAGGGGCCAGTATCACGGGTGGAGCAGAGAAAGAGAGATAGCGAAGGAGAAACAGTACCCAGCAGTGATCCAAAGACAGGCCTAGAAGGGCAGAGCATCCTAGGAAGATCCTAGAATTCAAGTGTGATTTGTCTTTTTTTTTTTTAATATATTTATTTATTGAGTATACAATATTCTGTCTGTATGTATGTCTGAAAGCCAGAAGAGGGCACCAGACCTCATTACAGATGGTTGTGAGCCACCATGTGGTTGCTGGGAATTGAACTCAGGACCTTTGGAAGAGCAGGCAATGCTCTTAACCGCTGAGCCATCTCTCCAGCCCCCGTGGTTTGTCTTTCAAGGGGGTCTTGGGCAAAGGAAAGCAAAAGGACTCCAAAGGTTGGGGCTCATAGCACGGTTGGCACCACTAAGCCAACTCATGTCCAGATCCTTCAGTGTCTTCAAGAATGAAAAGCTCTAGCTGGCTGCCCAGGGCTTGCAATGTTTTTGGTCCAGCCCTAACAGGAAAAGGCTCCTCACAGCTCCAGTGGCCATCAGCTACCTGCCTCATATATAAGCAGCTACGACACAGGACCTGGCCACCTCCAGCTCAATAGTCAGCACTGAACAGCCTGCATTCTTGCCGGGTGCAGTAGAGCACAGGAATGGGCAGTGTCCTTGAGCTTCTCAACATTTACTGGGTGTTTACCCTAGAACCCTGAAGGAACCCTGGCAAAGGTAGATATGGAGCTGGCACTTCGGCAAAAGGAGCTTCAAGTCCGTGGGGCACCCTTGTCTCTTAGCTCTTGAGCAAGCTCTAGCTGTTCTTGCTGGTCTAGCTGTTGCAGCTGTCGCTCCACGTCTTCAGGCACCTGCACCTCCAGCAGGTTGTCCATGCCAACCTCTGGCTCGTCACCAATAAGCACCTGCAAGCAGAGGAGGCAGGTGAGCAGCTCGTTAGCTATGGGCACAGCGTCCCTAGCCTTTCTGACCCTGCGCTCACCTGGATAAGCTTCTCACAAGCTATTCGCACATCGGGCTCTGGCTCCCAGTTGTGTAGCTCTCGAAGGACCAAGTAAGCACCCTGGTCCCGTATCTGCTGCCGACCAGGCGCAGTGGCTGTCAGCTAGGGAGATGGAAAGGGTTACTCCTCAGATACTAATATGTTTTGTAGGGAGCATTAACATCACAGACCCCTGCTCACCAGCATGATGGCTTCAATGAGCATCTTCCGGATGTCAGCATCTGGCTCTCGCTGTTTGTCTGGTGGCAAGTACTGCAGGTCAACAGGCAGCCCTAGGAGTGAGGGTGGGAGCTGTGTTGGACACTGAGCCATGCTCTGCCTGGGTGAGCCTCACTGTGTGTGTGTGTGTGTGTGTGTAAAACAACCCCCCCCCACACACAAAGGCTTCTGAAAGGACTCCAGACCCGTACATTTCTCCCTCTCCCCTTTAGCCTAGACAACCCTGAGACAACCACCTAAGTCACTCACTATCCATTTCTTCCTCGGAGAACTCCTCAGGCCCAGCCAAGGGCAATAGCAAGAAGGGGAGAATGTCAACTTGGGGCCCGAGCAACCATTTGTGGTGTCCTGGAGGTGGAAACAAGGAAAGGAATCAAGAAACTGGTCCGTTGGATACTGCGGGACCTGTCTCCACCCAGCAATGGCCCAATCCCCTCCTTGTCACTCACCATGCTCGAAGCAGCAATTCCGAAGTGTTCCCACCACTCCTCCCCTCCGCACCGAGGAGTCTGGGTACTGGGTAAGAGGCAGCAGCCGCTGGACCACGCACCTGTTGGAAGGCCACACTCACTGCTGTCCTTGTCCACTTCCACTCCCCCTCCCGGCCCGCGTAGGCATCTGGGCTTCACCTGTCCTGGTCCAGCAGAAAAGCACGCACCTCCGCCTGCTGGCTAAGGTTAGAGAGCAGCGGACCCAGGTAATGCAGGGGTGCGGCCACATTGTAGCTGGGCGTGCACAGCGCGTTAACCAGCCGCTCCAGACCCAGGCGCTCCGTCTCAGCGACCATCAGTTTCTCCATCAACGCAGCACACGGCGCCAGCTCGCGGCTCAGATTAGCCAGTACCGCTGCCGCCTCTTCAGCCCAGGGCCACTGAGGGTCCAACACGCAGCTCAGCAGGCGGGCAGGCAGCTCCGGGTCCGCCGCTAGCAGCTGCCGGTGCAGGCCGGGGTCAGCAGCCAAGTTCACGAGCGCGCGGGAAGCGTCGCGGGAAGGAGCTGGGGTCGGAGCCACCGCAAGCTCGGCAAGAGCCCGCAGCAGCGCTGCCTGTCCTGCCAACAGCGCGCGGCCCGAGTCGGAACCAGTGAGCGCCAACACGTGCTGCGCCGCGACCGCCTGCAGCTCTGCCCGCACGCCGGGCTTTAGAAATGGCAGGAGATCCGCCGCCTCCGTGTCCGCGCCGGCCTCCTGCTCTAACAACCCTCGCTCGCCCGAGAGCCCCGAACCCACTCCCGGGCCCCGCATGCCGCCAGCGGTTTCAGTCTCCGTTCCCTCTACCAGGGCCACGACCCGGCCCCCTTGGAAAGCGGAAGTCGTTGCGACCAATCCGAAGCCGAGGACCCAGCTGAAGTGGGCGGGGCCGGCCTGGGCGCGAGGCATTGTGGACCACGGTGTTGGGATTTCGCCTAGGTGTTGGGGCACACGTAGGTGGTGCAGGTTCCTTCCCACCTTCCAAAAAATCTAAGAGCTTGCGGCGACTCACAGCCGATTCACAGCCGCTGCTCTGCCTCCAGTGGTATCAGAGCCACGCGGCCAGCACGCAGAGTTGGAAGTAGTTCGGAAGCCCGGGCCCTTGGTGTCTGGACTGTTGCTTGCTACCACTTAGCCCCGGGTTCAGAACCCGAAGGCGCAGGACTCCGCGGTGAGAAGGCAGTCTCTGACTTTATAGAGAGCCTAACTTTGGGGCATTTGTCAGGACTACTTCAGTGATAGAAGCCTGGGTCAAACAGGCTTGGACAAAAGGGGACTAGTTAGTGTTGCGGGTTTGGGGGAGTCTGACGACAGACACTGCACACAGCTCTATAGGACCCTGTTCGGTTTCTCCCTTCCTCACCTCTCTGCTTCTCCAAGACTCCATATTATCTTTACCATCCACTGACACATTTGTTAGCACAGGTGAGAGGAAACTGACCTTCGCAGCTACATAATCCTGGTAGAAGATAGTTTCTTTCAGTGCTGGGGTCTTTTTCAGGAAAGTATTCCATTTGGTGCTTCTTGTGCCTCTACTACCAATTTGTTGCCTGGGGTCCTTGCTCTCCCAAGACAGGAGTTTTTCCAGGGCTGGTCCTTAACAGCTTTCCTAACCCTCAACTTCTGACAGCAAAGAAGCTGCAATAGTTACAGATCCTATGCAGCCTTAAATACTGACCGGGACCCTTAGCACTACAGTGATTATAGTGTTTTTAGCTCTCGCGTGGGTCTAAGTGTCCAGATTTCCCAGCCCTTGACAGTGGCTAGTGAGTGATACTGTTCCGAGAAGAGGCTAAGACCTTTGCCTCTTAAAGCCACTGCTGCCACTGTTTCTACTACTGCCATACTGCTTGTTGAGATAATATCTTTGTACACTGTGTAAAGATGTGTCTCTGTTTTACATCACCTGGCTAAGGCACCTTCTGACTGGTTTAATAAAGAGAATGACCAATAGCTAGGCGGGAGAGGATAGGCTGGACTTGCAGGCAGAGATAGGAACCCTGGAAAAGAATCTGAGGTGGGAGATTTGCCAGCTAGACACGGAGGAGGTTGGACATACTGTACCAAGGAGAGGTTACGAGCTACGTGGCAGAACATAGATTAATATAAACAGGCTAATTTAAATTTTAAGAGCTAGTTGGGAACAAGCCTAAGCTAAAACCACACTTTTTTTTTTTTTTTTTTTGGTTTTTCGAGACGGTTTTGCTGTAGTTTTAGAGCCTGTCCTGGAACTAGCTCTTGTAGACCAGGCTGGCCTCAAACTCACAGACATCCACCTGCCTCTGTCTCCCAAGTGCTGGGATTAAAGGCGTGCGCCACCACCTCCCGGCTCATGCTTTCATAACTGGTAAAAAGTCTCCATGTCATTATTCAGGAGCTGGCAGTCCAAAGGAAGACCCATATGACAGCTGCTTCCCCATCACTGCCTCTTCTGCAGTTCTGCTGCTGTGTCTTCATTGTCTTCACTTTCTTCCCTTGCCATACCAGCCCATCCAAATCTAGAAAAGTAGGTGTGAAGGGTGGGCATCATGGCGCACGCCTTTAATCCCAGCGCTTGGGAGGCAGAGACAAGTGGATCTCTGTGAGTTTGAATCCAGTCTGGTCTGCATAGTTGTAGGCAGAGTTTCTCTTATTAATTATGATTGGCCAAAAACTCAGGTTTATTATTAGCTAACTCTTACATTTCAAATCAACCCATATTTTCTTACCTACCCTCTGCCACGTGGCAGTACCTACTTTCAACACAGCATGTTCATCTTCTTGCAATTCTTAAGACTCCATCCTTCTTCCCAGCATCCTGTTATTGCTGTCTCTTACCTATATCTCCTGCCTAGCTACCAGCCAGTCTGCTCCTTTATTAAACCAATCAGAAGGTGGCTTGGCAAAGACACATCTTCACAGTGTACAAAAAGATTATTCCTTAGCACACAGTAAGTTCTGGTCTGTCTCAAAAAAAAAAAAAAAAAAAGAAAGAAAGAAAGAAAAGAAAAGAAAAACATTTCTGGCAAAGACTTTTCTTTGGCCCAATGTTGGAATGGTACAAGAAGTGTTTCCTACCAGATATAATCCCAGCATTTAGGAAGCTGAGATAGGAATCCAGATTTCCAAGGTCACCCTTGCCTAAATGACTGAAACCAATCTGCTGTACACACAGGCCTCTCAAAAAGAAAAAAAACCTCCCAGCTTGTTTACAAAGAGAACTATAGTCAGAAGTCAACAGTTTGCACCAATCAGAACAGGTCATTACTCAAAAGAAGGATAGCAGCTATATCAATGAAGGCACTGCTTTTGTGTGTGTGTGTGTGTGTGTGTGTGTGTGTGTGTGTGTGACAATCACAGTCTCCTTTGCTAGACTATTAGGGGAAGTGCTCATCTGACCTGGTACAAATGGTTGCTAGGAAAGGCCTACCCAAAGCTGCTTGAAACGTCATTGCTGAAGCCACACCTCTTGGAGCTGAAGTTGTATTTTAGCCTTGCACATCTGTAGAATATTCAAAATAGCCAATGCTGGCATAAGGGTGTTCTAGCCAACTTCCTGGCATGCAGTCCTTTGCTCGAGGATATTGGGGCACGACGGAGGGGTCTAAGGATGTCAGCCAGGAAATCCAGTAGCCTTGTCTTCCAAAGAAAGAGCATTTTCTAAAAGTCTTTGTTAAACAGGGGCCCAGTGGTTGAAGGACTTGCCCTGCAAGCATGAGGACTGGAGTTTTTTGTTTTGTTTTTCGAGATAGGGTTTCTCTGTGTAGCCCTGTCTGTCCTGAAACTTGCTGTGTAGTCCAGGCTGGCCTTGAACTTACTGAGACTGCCTGACTCTGCCTACCAAGTGCTGGGATTAAAAGCACTCAAGGGACTGGAGTTTAGATATAACCTATGTATAATTAATGGATACCAATAAAAACAGATGGATAAATAAATCAGGTATAGTGTTTCGTGTCTAATCCCAACTACTCAGGAAGTTGAGGCAGGAAGATCATAAATTTGAAGTCAGCCTGTTCTATAGACTGAGACTGTCTCACAAAACAAAACAAAACAAAACTGAAAACCTCCTTAGAATGATTGACTGATTGTTAACTTGACACAAGATAGAGTCACATAGAAAGGGAGTCTCAATGAGGGACTGTCTAGATTAAATTGGCCTATGGACATGTCTGTGGAGGGGGAGATCTGAATTAATGGAAAGACTTTGCCCACTGTGGGTGACACCATTCCCTAGGGAGGGGACCCTGAGTTTTCTAAAAGTGGAGAAAGCAGACTTGCAATGTGACTCGCTGCTCCAGGTTCCTGCTGCCTTGTGATGGACTGCCGTCTAGAATTGCAGCTAAGGGAAGGGTTGGTTTCATTTATACTTTTCAGGTCATAATCTGTCACTTAGGGAGTCAGAACAGGAACCCAAAGTAGGAACCTGAAGGCAAAAACTGGAGCAGAAGCCACGGAGGAGTGCTGCTTAGTGGCTTGCTCCTCCTGACTTGCTCAGACTGCTTCCTTAAACAACCCAAGACCACCTGCTCAGGAATGGCACCACCCACAGTGGGCTGGGCCCTTCCACACCAATCAATGTAGAACAGTGTCCCACAGGCTTGCCCACAGGCCGGTTTAGTGGGAACATTTTTTCAGTTGAAGTTCCCCCTTCTCAAACAACTTTAGCTTGTATAAAGTTGACAAAAAAAAAAAAAAAACAAACAAAAAAAAAAACAAAAAACAACTAGGCAGTGGTGGCACATGTCTGTAATTCCAGAACTTGGGAGCCAGAGGCAGGCAGATTTCTGAGTTGGAGGCCAACCTGGTCTACAGAGTGAGTCCAGGACAGCTAGAGCTACACAGAGAGACCCTGTCTTCAAAAACAAACAAACAAACAAATCCAACAAACAAAAACTAACCAGAACAGCATATGAACTATAAAAACAGAAGCCTACAAAGAAAGAGACAGAGAGAGAAACAGCTCTTGCCTCTGGGCCTGGAGAACAAAGGGAAGAGGGTATCAAACTGGGCACAAGTCCCACCTGACTCCTTTTCCTTAAATGGCATCTGGTTCAGTCATTAGTGTACTTGCTGCAGACATCTTACTGCTGAGATCCACTTGGTACACACATGCAAGCAAAACACTTATATAATTAAATAGGGTCGGGCGTGGTGGTGCACGCCTTTAATCCCAGCACTTAGGAGCCAGACGCGGGTGGATCTCTGAGTTCCAGGACAGCCAGGGCTATGTAGAGAGACTCTTATTTAAAAAAAAAAAAAAAATAGGTCTTTTATCCCAGCATTCAGGAGGCAGAGGCAGGCGGAGCTCTGTGAGTTTGATGCCAGCGTGGTCTACAAAAGTGAGTTCTAGAACAGCCAGGATTGTTACACAGAGAAACCCTGTTTCAAAAAACCATAACTAACTAACTAACTAACTAACTAAATAAATAAATAATAAATAAATAGGATGTAAAACAATGAAACTTGATATCAATTTTTGGCCTCCAAAAGCATGCACACATATATGCATTTGCACACAAGTGAACATGTATATACACACAATAAGTAAATATATATGTATATATATTTTAATTCAGACCAAACATGATAGTGTGATTTGCCAAGGTGGTAGGACTGGGCCTTGACCATGGAACCTTGGCTATCTGTCCCCCAGGTCAACCGTAGATGTTAGGGTTTGTGTCTTGGGGCAGAAAGTAGCGTTGCAGTGTAGGTTGGAGGAGCAGTGGGGGCAGCGCCCGTGGGGGTGCAGGCCAACCTGGGGGAAAAGGCTGCAACTCCACTCGTGGCAGTGGCAGCTTCAGCACCCGAAGAGAGCCATCACCACGAGCTGGGCCCTGGCGGTACAGCCTGTGACCTGGATGCAGGGAGCCAGGAGAGTGAAGCTGTAGGCTGAGGTTGAGTTGGGGCGGAGGGCATTAGGGTTCAATTCTTACCCCTGTGTCCACTCACCCCTAAGAAACATCCCAAAGCTTGGTTGCCTGGTCTCCTGCAGCCGAAAAATGGGATAGAGCCTGAAGAAGGAAGAGGATTCAATCAGACCTTCCTCTGCAGCCCACGCAGGGTCAACCTGACAGGCCCACAGCAATGCGCACCAGCGATCCCGGGGCGGCCGCACCACAATGTTGGGCCGTAGCTGGCTTAAGCCTGAGACATGTAAGCGCTCCTCTTCCTCCTCCTCCAGCAAGCTCTGCTGCCGTGTCCGGTGCTTCTCACAGAAGAAATTAAGCACATCAATATAAAAAAGGTCCAGTATCTGAGAGTGTGACCATTCTGTCTCCTCCAGTGGAGGTGACCCTTTTTTTACTGCAGGGGACACAGGAACACACAAGTTGTCCTGGGTCACAGAACAGAAGGCCCGCAGTGTATCAGCGAAGACTCTTTTGGTTGACCGCATGCGAGAATGTGCCTTAATGCTTGCAGCACGGAGATCTAGCATGGATGATAACACGGGCTCCAAAACTGAAGGCACAGGTGACACCATCAGCTCTTGAACACGCAAGGAGACTTCTGATGCCTGGGAGGGTAGCCAAGAGGTGCTCAAGGCAGGCAGGAGTGCCCCAGAGGCAAGGGAGGCTTGCGAGGAGACCTCCCTGGGAGGTTCCGTAGAAGCACTGGCTGCAGACTGCTCCAAGTTAGTCATCTGCAGGAGAGTAGCCCATGGAGTAATGATCCTTGCATCTGTATCTCTGAATTTTTTATTAATATTTTTATGGTTTATTTTATGTGCATTGGTGTGAAGGTGTCAGATCCTCTGCAACTGGATCTTCAGACAGCTGTGAGCTGTCATGTGGGTGCTGGTAATTGAACCTGGGTCCTCTGGAAGAGCAGTCAGTGCTCTTAACCACTGAGCCATCTCTCTAGCCCCTGTATCTCTGAATTTTCCTTCAGCTAGAGTACTAGGCCCTGGGAGAGGGTGCCTCATCCAGCCCCTCCTCCCCCTCCATCCCTGTAAAGCCATCCGTTGTATAGAGAGCTTTCAAGAAATATTCTGGTTGGGGAAAACCCAGGGGCATTCCTATGGGCACCCATGATCTTCTGGGAGACCTCGAAAGAAGGCAACAGGTAGGTGAGTCACCCAGTCCTTGGCCCACCAGACCTGAAGACTCATCTCCTCCAGCTTCTGTTGACATTGTGTGCGTATATTGGCCTTGGAGTCAAGGTTGAAGTTCTCAGACCAGGTTGCCAACTCCTTGAACAGGAAGCCCTGTGGGTCCTTGAGGCCCAGCACAACTAGCAGATTCATGAGTTCTTGGCTGGAACAGGTGGATGAGGCTCAACCCAAGTCTTCCCAAGCTGGTAGGGCAAACCCAGCAGGAGCTCAACTCACTGAAAACTGGCTGGCGAGTAGAGGTAGTAGGTCAGGATCTCCAAAACCACATCAAGGACCTCCAGGGTGCAGGCCAGGAGCAGCTGCAGCGCCAGCATCACAAACTGCTTCTGAATCTTGTCCTAGGCTCAAGAGTAGGCTGGCATTAGGGAACCGTGGTTGATTCTGGAAGTAGGTGAGGATACGGGGTATTGTGGAGGGATTCACCTGGAGGCTAGGGGGCTGGTCTTGGTTGAGCAAGTACAAGAGTTTGGCCTGCAGCCGGCTGTGGAGCTCACTGCTCATCTCAGGAAACAGCCTCAGCAGGGCATTTAGAATATGTACTCTTTCTGCCCAGGTAGCTTGTTGCAGGAAGTCCACAAACACTGAAGCCAAGCCATCTATGGTGCCCATCTCTGGATAGGCCTGTGGGAAGATTTGCTGAAGCCCTGCCCATCCCTAACTCCACTCTGCATGTGGAGTAGCCCCTACTTTCACTCCTTCCCCCACCCCCACAGCCTGGGCTTCCCAGCTTCTCAGAGTCTCCTAACCTCCAGGGTAAAGATAGGGAACAGCTTTTTGAACCAGTTCTGAACAACAAACTGATGCAGGAACTTGGGCAAATGCCCATAGCGCTCTTCCAAGAGTGAGCGCCCAGGCTTGTGTTGGTGGGGAGCCACTTGGGTCTGGGTGACTGCAGGTTGAGGTTTTGTGGTCAAGTCCATGGAACTCTAAGGAAAATGAAAGATGCTTCAAACCCATCTCTGAGCACCAATCTTTCCCTTCATGAGATCCTAGAGTACCTACATGAGTGTCTGCTTCTAGATGCTCTTCAGTAGTTGGAGAAGGGGAGAGCCACTCTGTCTCCACCTCTTCATCCTCCTCTTCGTAGTCCTCTCCTTCCCCCCTCTTACATGAGCTCTGAAGCCAATAGAGCAGTTTCAGTTTCTTTCGCCACCTGCCAGAATGCTTTCGGCGCTTCAACCACTCGTCATTCTTGCCTCCAAGTGACTGCAGAGGGACGAGAGAAGATGCGGCAGGCTGTGGGGACAGCAGGGCCCACCCTGCGAACCCCAAGCTCCACTTCTTGCCTTGAATTTGTCCTGGGTGAGTTCTTCTAGGGAGCCGAGGCAGCTGACCTCTGCCTGCAGCCACATTTGCCGCACTATCACAGAGTTGGGCACGCAGCCAGGAAAGCTGATGGGCCGAGTGCGTTTCTAGATGTGGAGGGCAACAGATTGGGCTGAGAATCACTAGGACATAACCAGGGGGCACCCCCATAATCACGGGCCACCACAAGCTAGACTAGACTGGTAGCTTGCTTGCGTTCTCAACACACAAATGACAGTTTAGCTTGGAAACCCAATACAAGGTAATCTGGGGGATATGAACTGTAAATGGAAGGAGGAACATAGAGGTGGTTGGTCCCTGGTGAGCACTAACCACACACATGTTCTCTGTGGAACTTAACCTAAAACAGGGGCATCTATAAAAACCATGGTAGAGGGGGCAGGGAAGGAAGAAAGGAACCTGGAGAGAGGTTCATAAATTGAGTGAATAGGCCTCCCCAAGCTGGAAGGGTTAATGATACACCTGAACAGGAGCCTGATATGTGCTAAGCAAGGGGCTAGGGCCTGCCTGGGTGCCCAGTGTGACCAAGTATGGCAAGATGGTGGATCTGGAGGGACTCACCCCACTGGATTTTGCTCCCCTGGAGCACAAGATCTCTGGTCTTTCAGAAAAAGTCTATAGGGAATGTAGCACTCCCAGAGGGGACAGTGGTATGCAGAAACAACCACTGGTGGTGGGCCCTTGATTTGGGCCTAGTCCTAGAAAGCAGCAAGGAGTGTACCACACCAGAACTGGCCAGAATGGAGAGGTACAGGGTTCTTTTTGTTGTTGTTTTTGAGACAAAGTTTCTCTGTAGTTTCAGAGCCTGTCCCAGAACTAGCTCTTGTAGGACAGGCTGGTCTTGAACTCACAGAGATCTGCCTGCCTCTGCCTTCCAAGTGTTGGGATTAAAGGTGTGCACCACCACCGCCGGCAGAGGTACAGGGTTCTTAAGTCTTGACCCTATAGGCTCCAGGTAGGCATGGCCCTTAAGTCAGACTGGGGTACAATGATTTACAGCCAAGGGAGATAGGATATACAAAGAGTGACCCCTAGAAGAGGCTACCTCTGGGAGAAAGGAGGGGTGGGGGTCTCACCCTGTGGGGCTGTATGGTGGCAGGAAAGAAGCCCCCTAGTTTTGAGAGAGGATCTCGGGGCCTTCTGTGCAGCAACAGTGGAACCTGGGGAAGGACAGGGAGTAAGAACAGAGCACAGCCACCCAAGCCCCCGAAACCACCCTTGAATAGGGGTCCTCACCCTATTCTTCAGGTAATCAGGTGATGTGTTCAGGTCCATGATCTTTTTTCCAAACGAATCCCACCGCAGCTGCAGATCCAAACTGAGGCCCAGCTCACAGCTCAGCGAGGAACGTGCTAGAAGCTAGGGTACACAAGGAATTACAAGGGGCTGGGGCAGGGACCACAGTGTCATATATGGGTGGCTATGGGGAGGGAAGAAAGCCTCACCTGGGATGCCTGGCTATGCACTGTCCGGTGAGTGGGTGGAATGGGCAAGGAGACACGGGGAGGGCGGGCAAAGCGCCTGCCTGGGGCTCCTGGGGTGTGGGGGGCTGAAGGTGGGGACACTGGCTGAACGTCAGTGCTTAATGTAGCCTGCCCACCACTGGTAGCAGCTCCTGGCTGGATCCCCATGTCCTGAGTCTCTTTCTCTGTGATGGAGCCCGCAGTGCCCCACTGCAGGAACTCCCTTTCAGATTTTATGTCCTGGGACAGGAAAACAAACAAACAAGCAAACACGAAGTCTGTGTCAAATAGGGTGAAGGTTATGCCAGGGCCTGGGATTGATCCCATACCCACCAGCAGGTCAGAACCGTAGATCAGATGTAAGTAACTGTCAAAGGCTTCCTGGCGCATCTTCCAGGAGAGTTGGGGCCGGGGTGACGGGACCACCAGTCCTTGCCTCAGTTCTTGAAGGTCTTGATCCCGGGCTATGAGATCCTTCAAGTCCTGAAGTGGAGATCAGTGGTCAGCTCCTGCTTCTTTGAAGACTTACCATGCGCTGCCCAAAGCAACCATGAGAGTTCAGGCCAGAGGCTGAGAGGTTGTGAATTGAGAATGGATATGGAGCATGGATGGGCACTGGGCAGGCAAAGAGTCAGGTTCAACACTACCTCCTTCAACACTGGCTGCTGAATTGTTTCTGTCTGGTGATAGGTGAAGGGCAAGGTCACACTGTAGATAGAAGCAGGCATAGGTGAGACTCTGGACGTTACTGGTGGAATGGGTTAAAAGCTGGAGTAAGGACCAGCCAGGAGAAAAGGTTCTTGGGTTGAGATGTAGTAATACCAGAGGGACTTGGGAATGTGGAGAACTCACACTGGGGACACACAGCTCTGCAAACCCTGCCCCCGCAGGGACTGGGTAGAACCCTCCACAGTAGCTGAGGAGCCCCGCCAGCAAACCTGAGGCTGGCTGCTCCATGGAGGCTGGCAAGCCTCTGCAGCTGGGAGAATGTCAGTGGCTTCTGGCTGTTCAGCGGCAGCGGAGGGTCATTCACCACCTCAGGGGACTTCTGACACAATTTCTGAAGAAGCAGGAAGAGCGTTGTTCCCAGTACCATGTGTGCGCCGTTGCCAGTCCCACCTGACCACTTTGTATACCTCAACTAGATAGGATGTAGGTAGGTAGAGCATGTGGGACACCAGGCAGAGGCGGGAACCTAGAGCGAATACCAGGTCTCCATTGTTGTTGGAGAAGGCCAGGGCCTGAGGGGGACCATCCAACTGCAGGAGCCTGCAAGAGTGCTGAGAGTCTAGGGCCTGTTTCACAGAGGGGGAGCCTGAGGAGGCAGTGACAGGGGCAAGACCCTGTCCCTTTCAGTCCAGCCCCTGAGCTTTAATGGAAAACAGAGGTTAGAAAACCCCCAATGGCTATCCTTTAGCCACTAGCTGCCCCCACACTAAAGAGCCCCAGCACACCGCAGCAGCCTGTTCTCCCAGGTCCAGATTCGGATGGTACAGTCCAGGCTGGAGCACGCATATATCTTGAGGGTAGGGCAGCAGCATAGTCCTAGGGGCAGAACTAAGGTTAGGAAGCAGTCTAGAATAAGAACAGAGGCTTCACCTTTGCTTCACTGTCCTCACCAGTGATGTGGTCCGTAGGGTCATCCTGTGGCCGGTGGTCACTGCGCATTTTGTCACCCAGGTCATACTGCACCAGGCCATAGGTGGCGCTCTCTGGGTCCTCAAAGCCTACAGTGATGCGCTTGCCCAGAGCACAGAGCATTACTGCCGGGTGGCAACAGGAAAAGGTGCGTAACAGGCTCAGACTCTCCTCGGCATACGGGAACACACGCCACATCTTTACCGTCAGATCGCCACCTTTGGGTAGCAGGAGCCAGGGTTGGGACTTCGGGCAGGTGCAGGGGCTCCCAGGCTGTCTTTGAGGGAGAGAAGGTACTGACCTGAAGTCACAATGCTGTTCCAGGTGGACCCAATAGCAGTCACTGGTTCTGGACTGTGCGCTTCTGTAAGAAAGACTGTCACTGATGTGCGCCAATCCAGAACAGACAGTGTGCCGTCTGAGTGCCCTATCATTGGTAAGAATCTGTGAGAAGTGAAGGAGGCTGTTGGTCAAGGTTCTGTCACCAAGTCAGCCACATTTTGCCTTAACCCAGCCTCAGACAGCTGCAGTGCCCACCTGTTCTTATTTTTCCAGGACCAGGCAATGGCACTGCGGAGCGTGTCGCCCTGATTGTGGCGCACAATCTCCCAGCAACTGAATGCACTACGAGGGTCTGTGAGATGGCTGTAGAGGTGCAGACAGCAGGGCTGGGGCGCTGGGGGTGGAGACGGACGCAGGCGGTGCAGTACGACCATGGGGCAGCGTGCTGCGTTGGCGCGCAGTAGGTGCCCTGAGCGTGTCAACACCCACAGAGCTTCTCGAGACAAACAATAAGCCACCCCAGCAGCACAGTCCTCCGGTTCCAGCAGCAATGAACTCACAGTTCGTCCCGTAGCAGCTGACACCAGGTAGACCGACCCATCTGCACAAGCGCATACAAGGCGAGAGGGCAGAGGCGGCTCAGCTGGTGTGGGCAGCACTGGCGCCACCTGTACGTGAAGCACTGGAGCGGATAGCTGTGCTAAGGGCGAATAGAGGTCACGCACACGCCACAGCTCCACACTTTTTGAGAACAGAGAGAGCACCGACCAGCCAGGAGCTGCAGGAGCCAGCAAACGGCTCACTCTCTCGGATAATATGTCTTGGTTCCAGCAACCCAGTGTTACCTCTCCCACCTGAGTTGCGGCCCTCAGGTCCCATGTGCGAAGCGTTCCATCCTGTGAGGCGGACACTACTAGCGAGGTGTTCTGGAGCACTGTCATAGCTGTCACTGGGCCTGCAGGAGAGGTGTCGGTCATTTTGGCACATCATAGCTTAAGGAGGCATTCCTGGGATTCAGTCAACCCTGTAGAAGGGCAAGCTCAGGATGAGAGAGGACTGCAAGAGTTGCCAGGCTGTGGCACACCTGTGTGGCCCACGAACACCATCCGGATCTGCCAGTCAGCCTCCCACACCTTCACAGTACTGTCCCGGGAAGCTGTCACCATGGCTTCTACCTCCTCACAGTATTCCAGGTCTGAGATGATTCTAGACGGGAGAGAATGGGAAGCCCAGAGGACTCAGCACAACCGTCTGTGGGTCCTATAGCCCCTGAAGTGATTGGCTCTCCTTAAGGATCTGCCTCCCATCCCCCGTCCCTGGGCTCCCCTCACGTTTTATGCAGATCCTGGCACACATTTACTAGCGACCAGGTGTCCAGATCAAAAGTGAGCACTGCCGAGCCATAGGCAGCAAAGCAATGCTGGGTGCCGTGGTCAGTTTCCGGCCCTAGTGCCAGCCTCTTGAGAGAGCCAGACAAGCCTGGCGGTGGTTGCAAAGGTGAGCCACAGGACACCAGGCGGCGACCCCCTGATCGGAACTTCCAGAGCTCCAGGCTGCCTCCCACCTGGGCCACAAGCAACAGTCCCAGGCTGGGCACTGGTAAGCAACACAGAGGCTCCTGGCCCAGCATCTTGTTCTCCTGTGGCAGGCTCAGCCAGAGCAGGTGGAAGTCTGGCCCTAATATGGACAGTCCAGCTGGGCCCCAGCCTACAAAGCGGCCCACTTCTCCCAAAGGGCCAGGCACAGTCACTAGCCCGTTAAGCACCACAGGCGCCTGCAGCTTTGCCTGCACCCAGCCATCCTTGGTATGCTGATGTAGGTAACCTTCACCGTCTAGTACCATGAAGCGTCCACCCACTGGGTCCTGCGCTACTGAGCGCAGACCAGCTGCCACCTTCAGACGACGCAGTGGCTCCAGCCCGTGTGTCATCCGAGTGACTCGCAGCTCTGCTCTTTTCTCCTGCAGGCCAGAGTACACAGACGTGCATGTAAATAGTGGAGGCCCGAGCTCCTCTGCCTGGGGAGACTCGGAAGGACCAGTGGAGTTGGTGCCCAGCGTCTTTAGGGAGGAGCCCAGCTAGAAACCTCCTAAAGAGCCACACCTTTTCTACAATGTCATGGAGGTATGTGCGTAGATGCAGCCACAGCAGGCGGGCTCGGGAACGCAGTGTCATTTTCCGCCACCTCTGGCTATTTGTAAAGAGCTGCAGGGCCTGTGGTGCCTCGTCCAGACCCAATTCTGTAAGTCAGTGGAGGGTGTGGTGTCACTATAGCCTTGTGCCCTACCCCTGGAGGTGGGAAGCAACACTGAGCCCTCCTCTGAGGGACATGATGGGTCAGGGAGTGTCCAGGGAAGTTCCACTTCTGCAACTGAACCAAAGTCTGAGAAATATCTGCCTCTGAGTGGGGTGTCTGGACAATGGTAGGTGCCCTCACCATGCCTTTCTGAGAGCACCCCAGGATCTGGGACATCATAGCCTTCCTGATCATACACGTCTGTGTCCAGAACTGCATTGTCACCCTCTGATGCAAAGAGGTTGCTTGCGTCTAATGTTACGTCCTCCATGGACAATCCCAGAGGTACGAGGTGTAACAGCTCTTGAGACTAACGGAAAGGCAGTAGCCGTTGCTAAGATACCAGACGCTCCCGGCCTGCCCCCCCACTCCCAGGCCCCGCCCCCCGACGCAGGCCCCGCCCTCCAGTCCCATGTTCCTTCGAAGTCACAGAAACTTTTATTGGAAATGAATGAGCTGCAGCAAAGTGACACTCAGTGCATGTGGCCCACCTGGTAAGGTGGGGGGCAAAAGTGGGCACCAGGGTCTGGTCCAAGACCAGACCCTATAAAACACTGGGCACCGCTTACAGGGCCTCAAGTCTCTGGCCCTTAGAGCTGGAGTGTACAGGCCCAATAAGAAATACAAAAATAAACTCTGTGATCCAGCTGTCCTGTCTGTGGCAGGCTGGCGGTGCAGAGCAGTCACTTTCTATCCAGCCCTGTGCTGTCTAATCCAGCCACAGCATGGGCAGTAAGAGCCTGCAGGGGTGAGTGGACGTCCACAGGCTGAAACCAAAGGGCTAGGCAGGTATAGCCTTGGGCAGCGCCAGGATGGCGGCAGTGCCAGGGTGTAGCCAGCATCTGGGGAGGCTCTGGAACTCCGTAGGTAGACAAGTTCAGGCATTAGTCGGAGCTGGATGAAGCTGAGACCTCTGCTTTTCCGCATCACATACAGATCACTGGAACCCTAGGCAGAAGTTGGCACAGAGTAGGACTTCAGGAGGTACCACCCAGACCAGGCCGAGAACCCTGATTTTTCCCACCCACTCCGGGCTCTAGAGTTCGGAGCCATGGCTGTAGCCTCCACCACCACCACACCTGTCTTCCTCCATGGTGCTGGTCTCCTCCGCCCTGCCTTCACTGCCTCCACGTCCACTCTCTTCATCAACCTCCTCTGCTCCCAGTTCCAAGTCCAGTGCATTGCCTGCCTCTGAGGGCGTGTAGGTGGAGCCACTGGGTGGGGAGAGAGATACCAGTCTTAGGACCAGCTACTCAGGCCTTCTCAGGGAGAACAGACCCAGTTAAGGAACAGGGGGCTGGAGAAAGGGAGGTGGCAATGGTACCAACCTGATGGAGCGGCAGCTAAAGAAGACAATTCGTTTAAGACGCTTGTTGTAAAAGAAATAATTGAATGACCAGAGGCTTCCGTCTTCCCCAAAGGGGTCTGAGTCCAGATCTGGGTTATAGCTGAAGAGGGAGGAAAGCAGAAGTATGAGGCTCCCACTGCCACACCCCTGCCACGTCTACCTGCAAAGCTGTGAGCCCACCTGTAGATGTCACATTCAGCTAAGCAGATTTCCTCATCCACCGCATTCCACAGCTGCGGCTTCAGGGCCTTGAAGTCTTCCCGAACCGCTGAGAACAGGCTGCAGTTGACTGCATTTACCACCTACGGTGGGTTACAACAGGGATGACAAGGGGCCAGGATGGCAGGTGGAACCCAAGAACCTACTCAAAGTGGGGAGGGCAATGGTCATGACTACAAGGTTCTGGGTCCCTCTTCCCATCCTTACCCAGCTAAGGCTGGGCTCCCGGCTGAATTCATGGCTTCTGGCTGTGCTGAAGTCATAGTCTGGCCTGAAGGACTCATTGAGTGTGGCAATCAGATAGAAGAGGGTCTTGCGACTGCACTTGTCACTCAGAGGGCTTTCGTCCTCGCCACCCTGGCTCTTGCTCAATCTGAACAGAGATAAATGTCAGGCTGGCCCACCATTCCACATACCCCAAAGGTAGGATCCACTCAGCTTACCTGCTGGGACTGAGGCCTGAAGTCTGGGGTGGGGACAGTGCCTCCAACACATGCGGCTGGCCCTCCTGGCAGAACTGCTTGAACATGTGTTTATCATCTCCTGCCATCTTACACGAGTAGCTTTCAATCCTACAAAATGCAGGCAGGATCATGGAGCACGCCGACCCCAAGCAGTTAACTCAGGGGATGAGATGGTGGCTTCCGAGAGTCTGATCCCAAGAGCCTCCAGCCTCACCTGCCAATAATATGGGCATCTCCAGTCTCCACTGTCAACTGCGAGTTGATGGCCTCAAAGCTGGAGTTCTCCAGTAGCTTCATGTCCTTTGGGCGGGGGCGTCTCGTGCCAGAGGGACTAGTGCAGTGCTACCTGAGAATGCGGGAAGCCAGGTTTGGCTGCCTAGCTCCAAAGGCTCTGCCTGCAGCCTTCCCACCCACTAGTAGAGCACTGTTTGCAGCTGGGTCTGGCTGAGTCCATCTGGCAGCTTCTCTCCTTCCCCTTACCAGCCCCTGAGCACTCAGCATTGGCAGGGAAATGATCCTGTTACTCGAGAATGGCAAGACCAGGGTCCAGCTCAACTCCAACTCCTCCTACATGCTGCAAGAGTCCTGGAGGTGGCTGGGAGTGGGAGGTGGGGAGTGGTTGAGAGGGCCACCCTGTATTCTGCTCACTCTCAAAGTGTTGGAAAGTCCCTCTCTCGACGTTCCCTACCCAAATCGGCACTCTGCAGACACCCTCAGACTGTACTAAGGGCCTCAATCAGGCTAAGAACCTGTAATCTGGTTCGGAACCGGGCACCTGGGGCTTGAGTCCTGAGGGTCACCTGTATGGGCTTTCTTCCCCGGTTCTATGGGTTGCTTCTCTGTTTCCAGGCAAGAAGAGGAAACCCATTAGTTCTTCAGTTCCATTTGCAATTATGCCTAATTCTCTCTTTGTACGCCAAACCTCCACAGGTTCAGGCCAGCAGTCTCCTGGCATTGCCGCCCAGGGAGCAGAGAGGCACCAGCAGATTCGTAAGGGGAAACTACAAGCCCCAGGAGGCAGTGCACCAAAAGAGGCGCTCGGGCGAGGCAGCGGCAAAACTACAAGTCCCATGAGGCAATGCACAGGCGCGAGCCCTGCCGGGGACTGTGGTTCCCGCAGTCCGGGACCGCTTGGAGCACAAGGCGGACACCCACCTGCCAGGAATTGGCTAGATCAAGCCAGGCTAGCCGGTTGCTTAGCGTCGGTGCTGAGATGACGACGGCACGGGCTGCGCGCGGCGCGGGCTCCTCAGGACTGGAGGGCGGCGCCGCGGCCTCCACTCGGGCCGCACTGTATCCGGGGGAAGAAGCTTCGCGGCGATGTCCCGTTACTCCAGGCCCTGCCGGCCCATACGGGCTGCAGCCGCGACATAGCCTCGTCCCCCTGCAGCACTCGCTTTTGCGACTGACCTGCCGCGGACCGCCACAGATCGCACCAGACAGCGAACGAAACAGCGACCTCCGCCTCCCCCGGCCCGACAACAACAAGCGGCCGACAGGCCCGGCCCCACTCCTCTGAATGGTCCGCTCCGACCTCAGGATCCAGACCGCGACAAGCCATTGGGGGAATTCTCCGCCACTCAACTTTATCTTCCCCTTCTACTGGCTGTGTAGCTTGTCTGTCTCGCCCTCGTTTACGAACCCGCCTCCCCTCTTAGTGTTCATTGGTTAGGGCAGCCCCGCCCCGCCCTCGGGGGGGCCAACCCTTTTCCCAGGGTGGAACACACTCACCAGCGTCTGGTGTGTGTTTGTGTGGATTGGCGCCCTGCTCCTGCCGGGTACTGGTGTTGCCTTACGTCGGGCAGCGGCTATCACCCGTGCGAACCTTTGAGAAAAGTCCATCCTTCATTTTGTGACCGGTGTCTGGTCTCTGACACTGTCCCCGGGCCCAGCTCAAACGTGACTAGCGTGCCTGGAGGTTGGACCTTCTCTATCCCTGAGCACAGCGGGCGGTCGAGCTCAGGTAGTGCGCGACTCTGGGTCCTTCATGTTCTCCGCGCTTGGCGCATCCGGAACCTAGGCCCATAGCCCGAGTTTCTGGTCGGCGGAAGCGCTCGACAGCTCCGTATCACGGAAGCGCTCTCGGAGGGTCAGGACTCTGCTGCACCAGATATGGCGCCGCCCGCCGGCGGGGCTGCAGCGGCTGCAAACCCTAGTTCGCCTGCGGTGCTCCTGGCAGTGCAGGCCGCGGTGAGACCGCTGGGCGCCGGGCACGACACCGAGGCGCAGCTACGGAGGCTGCAGTTAAGCGCCGACCCTGAGCGTCCTGGGCGCTTCCGGCTGGGGCTGTTGGGTACCGGGCCAGGGGCGGTGAGTGTGGGCCGGGACAGCGGAGTCAAGCGTCTGCATTCCCCTGCCAACTGCCCTTAAGCAGTTACTTTTCTTTGCTTGTCTGTGAAAATGGGGTTAATGCTTTACAAACTCTCATGAGAAATTGGTACGATAACAGGAAAGAAAAGCTTAGGACGGTAAAAATGACCTCTTGTTTCCTTTTCCTTTGATCTTGGCTAAAGATGAGGAACCACTGACCCAGCATACTCTTCCCTCTTCAGGTCAGTTTAGAATGGCCCTTGGAGTCCATTTGCTATACAGTGCGTGGACCTAACCAACACGAGCTGCAGCCTCCGCCGGGAGGGCCTGGAGCCTTCAGTGTGCACTTCCTCAACTCCCAGGAAGCACAGCAGTGGGCAGCACTGGTGCGAGATGCCACCGCGGAGGGACAAAATGGTCAGTGTCGTGGAATAAATGCAGGCCTCTTAGTCGTGGGTAGGGACAGTTATGGGTGAAGCTGGGCATCTAGGAAGGCTTCCAAGAGGAAGAAAGTGGAGAAAATGAGAGGTTCAAGAGCTGACACCTGGAATACCAGACAAGTGTGAAAAAGGAAGAGCAAGCCCTGCTGCAGGGCCAAAAGTTCAAGAACAGCATTGTGTTCAGTGGAAAAATAACAGGTTCAGGTCTGTGTTACTAAAGACAGACTCTCTAGTCATATAGAGTGGTGTAGCCAAGGTTAGAAAAAAGACCCGAGGACCTTAGGAGAGGAAATTAGATAGGTTTTATGGTTGTTAAACTGGTAGAATTAGTGGTTAAAATGGAGATAGAAGGACCAGTTAGTGTGAGGCTTGTATACAGTGCCTGCTTGGGAAAGCACGGACATGGCTGGGGCTCTGGAGAGGTCAGCCTAAGTCTGAGAGGGAAGCAGAGAAAAGACGCCTTGCATGTGGACCAGTGATTCTCAACCTTCCTATTTCTGCTACCCTTTAATATAGTTCCTCATGTTGTAGTGATCTCTAACCATAAAATTACTTCATA